TGCGGCGCGCCGCTCTACTCCCCCCCCCCCCCCCCCCCCCCTTTCAGTAGAGAGAATAATTGCCGTTGATCGAAAATAAGTAACTAGTTACAAAAACATGATCCAGTAAAATTTTATCAGAATATTGAAAGTCTAACATAATAATCGTTTTAACGTTTGGTTTATAATTGTTCGATTTTCAATGGTAATATATCAAATTCATCAACTTATTTTTAGGAATAAACATCACTATTATAAACCCAACGATCTGTTCAATAGCATTGACTACAGGAGTCTACAACCCGACCATGGCTTTAACTCATTATGTTTCAATTCAGATGAAATCTATGAAGGAAAAGAAAGATTAATGACCCAGGTCGATCGTTCCGGTCACCAGATACTTCAGGAACTGGCAGGAAAATGCGGAGAAAATCACCGTATCTTGCAGGAAAACATGGGTAATAACGGGAACTGGAAGCAGCATTCCTGCTGGAAATTTTCGGAATTTTTTTCGATGCTTTTCCGGTCGGTTCCTGGCGAAAAACGCAGGAAATTAGTCGGAATTCACCGGAAAATTTCCGACAGAAATACTGCTTTCATGTTCCGGCAATTTCCAGTGTTTTCCTACTGAAACCGGCCTGGACTTTTCGACCTGGGGATGCAACTGATAGAGCGAATAAACTAGAGCATATACAGATATTGCAATGATTAGCAAAGATTGTTTTGATCGAATGAAGTTAAATATCAGATGCAGGTCTCCGAATAAGATGAGATGAAATGAAAAACTCATCTTATGTGATAAATTGGTTTGCCTGATCTCATCATTCTATGGAATTTGCAGGTCATCTTATTCCATCGATGAATCTCACAAGAAGACACTCTTTCTTTTCTCGTTTAGGCAAGTTTATTTGGCATATAATTTTTTATATTGGTCACAAAAATCTTACTGTGGTTGTCAAAAACAAATGTTTGAATCGCGAACATTAAAATCTTAGTGAACTCCAACGAATTCAATCGTAAATTCAGCTTCATTCGTTGGAATTTGCTGAACTTCACCAAGACCAGGAATTGGCTTTTTCCTTCACGAGAGAACTACCCCAAGTGTGCATCACCGGTTTAGCTTATGTTAGGCTCACAGAAAAATCTCAGTAAGACAAGAAAATGCCTAAGATGACTTATCGCCATGCGTTTTTGAAGTCAAATTACGCTGTTTTATTGAATTTCCGATTCATTTTTGAGTATTTACTGAAAAGTCACATAACAGAATTGCGGCCTGAAATTTTCAGCCGAAAAGGCTGTTCTTTCGTCAAGCTATTGAATTTTCAATTTTACTCCATTTTTATGACATGCCTGTGGCAAACGGCTATTTGTTGTAAATTTAACGTTTGGACATTGTTTTCGGCTGAAAATTTCAAAAAATTCTATAGAGCCATAGGATCTGTCTATGAAAAAGATTTCATGTTCAAAATTTCGTTATTTTTTTGGAGTCTTAAGAGATCTCCCTGTGAGTTCAATATGAGTTCAAACAGCGGGCTACAAATGTGGTAGTTCTCCCGTTAGAAGATTTCAATCTGATACCTTTATGCATTAAGAAGTAATACTACTTGTGATTCAGTGGATTTTTCATCCATCAATCTTTAGCTTTTAACGATTTTAGTTAGTTTTCCTAAATCGCTAAGGATCATCGAAGATCTTTGCGTATTTTAATGTAATACTGTAAATTTCTTCAGATCTTTGTGGATTTCGATGAATTCTGTAATTATTCATGATCAATAGAATCCGTCAGAATTTTCGATCTACATATTGATGTTTTCAAAACCAAAACTTAAAAAAAGAATTATGTTGAAAAGTATTTTGAAGTAGGAATAATAAAGATTTCTTAGGACTACTAATTTTTACTCATACAATCCACAGTGATGATCAAAGAATATAAAAAACTTTTGACTGAGGTTGCAGTACATAAAACTCAAAAGAAAAATTAGTCTTCATTTTCATTATTTAAACTTTTATAGATACATTACCAATTTTTACATGAAAATATACAACAAGATGTTAAGAAACGAAACTGTTTCTATTCAAGAAAACGTGTAACAATGAGAATATCACAGACACTGAAACGTCTCTCTCTGATAACAAAAAGAAAATAAATAAATAACTCGTAGTAATAGTGAATTCACATTAAGTATTGAAGGTACGAGTATGAATGTCTTATTGTGCATCATACACTGTCTCCATGATTAATGTGTAAAATAGAAAAATATTCAAGGCTAGTGTAATCATCATGGTAAACAATCAATCAAGGTTCTTCTCACATAGAAAATATCAAGAAACCATGTATCTGGTATATCGTCGAATATTGGAATGGATGAAAAAACCTTCATTATGTTTTTTTTACAGTTTATATTAATTATATTTCAAATTAAATATAGAATAACCAGATCATTCGAATAATTAAGTGAAAAAAATATATAAATTAAAGCACTCTGCCAAATAATTAACCAATTATTGCGCAATATAAACTGATTATATATTAACTATTGAGTATTTAACATATCATTAACAATTGAAATTTTTTTATTTAATTAAACAACAGTTTAAGACAAACTTTTTTTACTATTGATCACCAATACATGCATAAATATAGATAGAATAGTTATGATAAAAAATCTTTTTTAATAATATTTCATATTAAATAGTTCATTTTACCCGTATTCATGACAGTTTCAAACTGATTGATATTTTAATACAAACTTGAGCACAAATATTATTTTACTATAATTCTTTATGAAGACCTTTTTTCTAATTTTCAAACAATGTCTTTTTATTTTATAATACATATGTCTTTTATTCCCATATATGTGTATACATGATTCCAATTTTTGAAACCTAAATCAAAGATACAAGGTTATGTTCGTTACAGATACTATTATACACCTCTGTTCTATGTATCTTACCATCCTGTTCTCGCCAACACCTTTTTTTTCTTTTCTTTTTTTTCTCTTTCTCTTTGATGTTCATTCAGTTGTACCACCCGCTCCTATTCTCATCAGTTGCATCCTACGTATCTGCTTGCCTCCTTGTTCATATTCACACGTGCATTCAAAACGTATACACCGAGTTTGATTTTTTTACGAAGACTTGCGCGCATACAAATTATTCTCAAATCATCATACAACTATTATATCTGTTCTCGATTAGACCTTATTATAACAACTATACTATATATGGAGTAATTGTAACTGACAAGCTGTCCAATTGCGAGCTTTATTTGGTTAAAAAAGAATAATGAAGCGTTCAATTGAACAGTACAATCATTAAATTTTAAGAGGTATAATTGCTAAAGTTAAAAGTTCTGGTCAATAAAAATGTTTTTCAAACGAAAAAATAAGAGACACTTTGTTAATTATCTTTTTTTTTCTTTTTACTTCAAGCTATCTATTTGAACATTAAATTCAATTAAATTTTACACTTTCTTCCTTCTTTTTTTTTCTCACTTATTCTCTATCATCAAATGTTTCAATTGCTGTCATCATTTACTTTCACCGCTCATACTTGCTCCTCCTTTTTTCTTCTCCTTCTTTGTACATATACAAGCCAATTCATCGATTTGCTTCATTTTGAAAAAAAACGGAGAAGAAGAAGTAGAAGGTCAACTGTATGTATGATATTATACATGAATGTATAAGCGAGCCCGAAACAAAAAGAAACACATACTTGTGTACAAAGAGCATTGATCTTATTGAAGTGATGAGACAGTCTCGTCTGACTTTCTCGTTCTTTCCTCTTGTCTTTTTCTTTTTATTTTGCCGCTTCATCGCGAAAGACAAAATACTTTTAAACATATATGTACGTATAACAAATTGAAATTGATCGTTTATAAAAAGACACTTAGTGAGACAAATAACAAGTTTTATACTATTATTATTATTGCATTCTGTAAATGATATAGCTTCAGGGCATAGTTTCATGACATTGATGTGTATGACTAGAAAGGTAAAAAAAGAAGGAAAAGAGTATCATCATTTAGCAAAAAGAGCACAACGAAAATCATTGAAAAAATAGAGCAAGGTCTTCATTTCTATCTACCTTGAGTATTACTGTATACTCACATATTTCTTATCACATACGTTAGACTGACATCAGTCTTTTTTCTTTTTTCATGAACTACTGTCTGATATGTACTATTTAGTTTATTGTTGAATAATAGTTTGTTAATAATAAGTCATAATAGTAGCAACCTTGTTAGTATAACATTGAAAAAGAAATGAAATTTTCTATGATGAAATAAAAAGAATAGGCAGAAAAAGTGACTACTCTCCCTCTCTCTCTCCAATTTATATTTCATTCACATGAGTATCAAATTTTCGATTGCATCATTTCTTTACGTTTGTATATACGTATACATGAATTAGTGGTCAATTGTTTAGTTTGAACGAACGATGAGCTCAATATATTCTCTGTATATATATGTATATATGAATTCTCACCTGAGGCTAATCTTATTCAAATAGCTCCTATACCATCTTTTGTCTATGTATGTCATTTCGTTTTTCTTTTCGTTTTCTTTTTCTTTCTTGATCATATATACATATATGCATATTCTCACTTACTTACCCGTCAGTGACATGTTGACACACGACTGTTAAACCGGGGCTAAACATTATCTTACACATTTTTATCTATATTATATATCGCAATTAGATTTTGGATCTTATCAATATCTAAACAAAAGAAAAAAAGAACGAATTGAACAATACAAACGAGAATGACGACTATTGTTAGTACTTCAAATTCTGAAGTGACAACACCAACAAGTTATGTATCACGTTGGATTGCTCAAAGTCATAATGCTTATCAAAATAAATCAAATGAATTTTATTCTCCATCATCGCCATCTTCTTCATCCTCATCATCATCTTGTGATTTTCGAACACCAACAGCATCAACTAAAACTCCACCAAGTAACATTTCACCAACAACGTTAAAATCTCATACAACAACTACAACATGGCAAGCACAAGCTAAATCACGGTTAGATGCTGCTGCTGCTGCTACTGCCGCCGCCGCTGCTGCTGCTACAACTCATGATTCGTCATTTATTTCATCAATGAATATTAATAATAATGAATTACAAGAAAAATTACACCGTGTCAGGTAAGAATATTTTTCTAACTCAATTGAGATGATGTAATATTTCTTTTGGATTGAGTGCTTTTATATCAATATTCTCTTATTCAAATGAGTTTCAAGTAGCAGTAGTATTGACTGATTATTATACAAAGTCTGTCATAATAATCACAATACAGTGAAAAGAAAAATAAACCAGATGAACAAAAAATATTTGTAGGATTAATGAAGAATCCTCTACAATGCATGGATTGCGTGACGGTTGATATGCATATGCATAAATTTGAACGTAAGACAGCGAATGATATGAAATATATAAAAAAAAGAACGTAGAATAGTCTATATATTAAAATCGATTAAGTATATGATTTTGAGCATACACATACAGCATGACATGACATATATATATATATATATATATAAAGAAAGGAAGATCCATATCTCAATTCATACGAGTCTGATGCACATTTAAACAGTAATAAATGATATATAACTTTTTTTAGAGCGTTACTTGATGCTAAAAAACAACGGTTATGTCGTTGTGTCTCGTCATCATCAACTTCTACTCAACTAGATCAAGTGCTTTCTTCAACAGTAGTAGGAGAACAATCATCTCCTCCTTCTGCTTCGTCATCTTCAATTTTAGCACTTGAGGTAGATACTTCAAACATCTTGACTTCTGAATTGATATATATTTATTCTATTGTAGAATGTCTATATTTCACACGATGAATCTCGATCATCTACAAATTATAATTATCATACTTCATCTATATTACCATGTCTTATGGAAGAATCACCAAGTGATTCAGGTTGTAGTGATGGTACGAAGACAGTAAATAATGATGATATTATTG